ATCCTATTTCTTTTCTTGTTAGTCACTTGGATTTCTCACTTGAATTATTTTTTTTAAGACTTCTAGGTCAATATATCTAGCATCCCACTTATCAGTACAATGTACCTATACCTCGCATTCTTGCAAAGGGCTATGGTATTAAGAAACATCGGTGTTTTTGTGTATCACAAATATTCACAATAATAAACAAAGCTGTTTTAATCGTTGTAGAGTTGGATATATGATTGTGACTTAGGCCCTGTTCGGATGGCTGAAAAAAAAGCTGATGCTGATGCTGATTTGTTGTAAGAGAAAAACACTGTTATTTCGCTGAAACGGTACGGCTGATAAAGTATCAGCCGTACCGATATAAACACCATCCTATTTGAATTATCAATGAAGAATTATTTTATTGACTTTATAGTGCCTTTGGTTTTTTTTCGAATGAGAAAGTATAAGAATATGCTTTTTCTATATTTACTACTGAGTTTTACCTTAATTTTGATTTAGTCCCTTCCCCTATGGCTGAGTATGATAGTCGGAGTAGCTAGAAAATTATGATGTTTTATAATGCTTGGTGTTGTGAAGCGCCAATTTTTTTAGTATATATATAATTAATCAATAGGTATAGGTGCCTTTTCTGTATTGTGTCCGTCAAATCGTAAAGAGAGCTGAAACTTTGCGTCATCGCCACCAAATGCATCCTACTTCGGCTACTCCTACTACGGTGATCCGATAGACTTCCACATTCGATGGAGCCATGACTCGAGGACCGCAGGCACCATCACATGGGCTTCCGTCTGATCGAGGAGGTATATTTGGCCCATGGCCCAAGAAACGCTATTGCTCTCTCCATTTGTCTCCACCAAATGTTTTCTTAGGAACCAGCATCCCCATTTCTACAAAAAAAACATCAAATATGTTACGTATGCGAAAGGAAAAAAGGTTGAAGAAAACTAGAAAAGGAGGAGATATATATATGGTCTTTGTGTGGAAGAGAAAATAAATTTTATTGGCCATGCACCAACGCAGCTTGCACTCGTAAGAGACACCGTACCTCTCCCCATCATGGAAGGCCTGCGATGAGATCCTCGGCTGGCTCACTAATAAATGGGCCTCATTGCACAGTAATTGATTGCAGAGGAATCATTTCTGGAAGGCCCTCACTCCCTCTTCCGTTTTTGGCGATTTGGATGGGTGGTGTTTAAATCCAAGAGGCTAAAGTTTAGGAGTATCATATCAGGTGTCACATGTGATGTTACATGGGAGTGTTCGGATAGTAATAATAAAACAAATTACAAAAGTCCTTAGGAATCCGTGAGACGAAATTATCAAGCCTAATTAATATGTCATTAACATATGTTTACTGTAGCACCACATTGTCAAATCATGGACTAATTAGGTTTAAAAATTTCGACTCTCAAAGTAGTCCCAATCTGTGCAATTAGTTATTTTTTTACTCTATATTTAATACTCTGTCCAAACATACGATGTGATAGGGACGAAACTTTAAGGGGAGAAACTAAACAAGGCCCGTCCTGCACGGCTGCATCCATAGTAGTAAAAAAAACTCGATCAGCGGTGGCTAAACAGCCCCCCGGTATTCCAGCTTAAGAAGAAGATCTTCTCACGCATATCAAAAAACCCCGAATCTCTGCTCCACCTATACACGGCGGCACCGTAGCTCCGTGAAATGAGTCGGCTATAGACCCGTGCTTTGGATGTGGAACAAATGAGAGTTTTTTTTTCCTTAATCGCTGTGGCCGAAGCCACGAATAAAAAGTGAGTCTCTCGAGACTCGAATTCTGATCACTCTAAGAGTAAGGTACTGACCACTCGGTCAGCCAGGCCGTTCGCGCACCCATAGTAGTAGTACTAGTATATCGAGTTCTAGGTCCATGGATTATGGGTTTTGATGCTCCCTCTTCAGCGACGAAGAGGTAGGGTGGCTTTTGAGTCTCCATGGCGAGATCGTCGCAATGACGATGATTTCGTTTTCTTTCTTGAGCATAATAATGTGGCAGGTGTTCTGCCGTTTCATTCAGTAGGGAGCAAAAGTTCAGAGTCTACAAAATGTAGCTTTACAGGGTGTTCTGTCGTTTTATAATGAAGTCTTTTGGGTTCTTTTCTACCTTAACGATGGTGCTTCCTCTGGCGTCGTTAGCAACCTTGTGAGACAGAGGCTTAACAGATCTGTGTCAAAGCTTCGATTATTGTTGGACTCTTTATGGGAGTGTAGCGTTGTTCAATGCCCATGGAATCAACGACTTCATCATCTTTCTTCGATTTCTGCAGCAAGATCCGGTACCCTTCTACCCTTTGGTTTGACGATAATGGTGGAAATATCAATCTTGCATTGTTTGGTGTGTGTCCAAAGACGATTCTCTTGTAGCGATTTCAAGATCTTGTCGCTAGCACCAGGTGGCTACTGCAATCATCAATTGCAAGAGAAATCTGCATCTGTTACCTTGTGTTTTTCAATTTCGGCGAGTAACGTGTTTTTAGGAAGAAGAAGACAACCTCAGAAAATTTCTTTGCATTTTTTATTTTATTGGTTGTTGTGTGTCAAAGTGTCTTGTTTGTTCTTAAAATTTAAACACTTCTAAAAAAGCAAGCAAATGCATCACTGGTACGTGATGTGCACTAAACATTACAGCTAGCCGTATATATAAGAGTGCGTGGGAATGGCATGGCTGACCGAGTGGTGAGTCCTGAGGGGACTCACTTTTTATTTGTGGCTTCGGCTGCAGCGATAAGAGGAAAAAAATTCTCTCATCTGTCCTACATCTAAAGCACATGCCCATGATCAACTCATCTCACGGAGTTACGGTGCTGCTGTGTAAGGTTGGAGCAGGAGTTCGAGGGTTTTCTCGATCTGCGTGAGAAGATCTTCTTTATAAACCGGAATACGTGGGGGCTGTCTGCCATCGCGGATTAAATTTTTTTTATATAAGAGTGCGTGCATTTAAATAAAGAGTACAAACATCGTGATCTTCAAACATCAATTATCGTTATAATGATATAAATTTTTTATAAAATATTATGTCACTAGATTCACATTTTAATAGACTTCCTCATTCTATAGTTTTGTTACAAACAAATAACGCCCTGTGTCAAACTATTGCTCATCATATTTAGAAAGAGATGACGTAACTTTCTTCTTTACATGCCCGTGCTCGAAGATCAACACGCAACTTAACTAAACATAGAGGTGCGTCCTTATTTCTGTCGTGTTCTCCTTCTAGTAGTATATTTTACTCCCTCCATTCAGAAATGATAATCATATTTGAACAAAGGAAAAGTCAAAGTTCATAAATTTTGACTAATAATTAGTCAAATTGTGTGAAAGTTTAGAGCATAAAACTTGCATAAATAAATTTATGTTAAAAGTGCCTATAAGATGTTGATTTTTAAGCAGGTTATAAGAGAAATTAATGGTCAAAATATATTATGTATGACTTTTTGTCTGTTCTAATACAATTACTTTCTCCATTCCAAATTATTAACGTTCTGGCTTTTCTGGATTCATAGCTTTCGACATGTTTAAATATATAGTAAAATGATGTACCTAGAAAAATCAAAGTATCTTATAATTTGAAATGGAGGGAGTACCATTTTTGAACGGAGGGAGTAAAATTTATGTGCGCAAAGTTCCATGCCATTTCTTTCCCGTTGGAGCCTTCCAGGGACCTCAACCGGCACACCGCGTGCAACCGGAATGGAATGGAGCTGATGCTGATCGGTTTCCATTCCTACGCAATTTCGCTGCTATTGCATGGTCCTGCAGCCGCTTGCTTGTGTTTGGGGCTCGATTGTGACGTCCTCGGATTATTGTTGTCTTGTGCATGTAAGGTGGAGTGGTTGGCTCTGTTTTGTCTCATCTATCTATGATGCACATTGCACTAGGTGCCGTGCATCACGCCATGTCTTAGCACCGGAGAAGTGATCGAAGGGATGATGAAAGGCAGTACCATGTGGCGTCATTATATTAGTAATTCACTATTAGTCAATGCAAAAATGAATCGTTAACAAACGCAGCGCATGTTCTCTATGTAACACGTTACTAAGGTAGGAGTAATAGCAAACTTGCATTTGAGCATCCCTTTCTTTTCTAGTTGAAATTGACAGTAGTAGTACCAGTAGTCATGCTAAGATACTCGTTAAGCTCAGGTACCTTTCCAATCATTTTCATTATTAGTAGTTATGCTAAGATACTAGCAGGTGGTTGTAAAAAAAATAGATGTGCTCTGATGGCCTGTCCGCCTGTCCTTCATATGCACATGACACGTACTGATATTTTTTTTTTGAGTAAGCGACACGTACTGATATCGCTTGTTCAGATTTGCATTAGACAGGATTATGATATCTAACCACTTGCTGTGATATTCATCGGTGTCCCATCTTGAACGTAATCTAACTAGATTACTTAGGATTGTTGGCCTCCCTACTAGTTTTTCACTTTCATAGCTAGTCTCATGAATTGGATATGCTCTTGCCCTATATCCGCTTTCGATCGACAGATAAAATGAAACTTCAATGCTTGAACATCCATGACACACCTGAATGGTACTTGGAGAGCTGAGTGAAAGCCGCGATGTAGCATATGTTTGTGTAACTCAAATTTCATGTGATTTCAAGAGCCTTTTGTATACATCCATAGCATTCATACTCACATCAGGAAATCAAACTCCCGTTTCCAGCGATCTGAGCTTTTGATTGTCATCTTGTGCAAAATTAGTGGCTTCTATTTGCAGTTATAATATGCTTTGCCAAAATTTTGATGTTGATTGATGGGGCCAAGTAACTTACGCGGTTGTGTGTTTGACTCTTCTTTCTAATGTGGTAAATTACCATGCAAATCGCCCATATTTATGTGTATATTTATGCAGGAGGGCTAGCTTAAAGCGCCTACTTTAGTGTCTGGAATTACTGTATGAGCACTCAAACTAATGCCGTGCTCAAACCACACCATGATCATGTCTCCTTCAACAGGTGTACCACCACGGCACACCCCACACACCATGAACCATGAGCTGCTCAGAGCTGCTGCCACCGGCGACAAGGCGCTCCTAGACCAGGTCCTCGGTTTGAGAAGCACTACTGATAATGGAGGCGAGTTGGAAGCCACGCAGCGAGGCAACCCGAGCTGCCTGAAAGGCGTCACCTCGGAGGGGAACACGGCGCTCCATATCGCCGCCGGCCGTGGCTACCTGGAGCACGCCCGCATAATGTGCGACCTTGACGCGTCGCTCGTCAGGGCCAGGAACAACCTGCGCAACACTCCTCTGATCTGTGCCGCGAAGGCCGGGCATGTCGACGTGGTGTGCTACCTCATGGAGCATGCCCTTGCCCCTGCGACGGTGGCAGCGTCGCCGCCGTGGTATGCTGGCGCGTCTAGCGACGAGGAGTCCATGATACGGGCCAGGAACTCGGAAGGTGCGACCGCGATGCACGAGGCCATCAGGAACGGCCATGAGGCGGTCCTGGCGAAGCTCATGTCCGCGGACGGTGGGCTGGCCGCGGTGGTCGACGGGAAGGGCTTCTCCCCGTTGTACCTGGCGGCCGCGTTAGGCCGCGCCGACATGGTCGATGTCCTGATCGCAGGCTCTCCGCCTGATGGGGTGAAATCTCCGGCGTACTACGCCGGACCCGATGGACAGACTGCCCTGCACGCTGCGGTCCTTGCCAGTGAAGGTAAGCTGCCAATCTTTCTTGGGCATTTCGTGCTTTTGATTTGATATGGTTCCTGATGATGTGTTGCATTTGCATACAACTGGAATATTTCAAGAAATGAGCAAATCGCTGTGGTGCTGGGAGCCGACGCTCGCGAAGAAGGTGGACAACTCTGGGAACACGGCCCTCCACCATGCGGCGTCGGCTGGGAAGATCGGAGCAGTGAAGCTTCTCCTGCTGGAGGACTCTTCGCTGGCGTACATCCCGGACGTGGACGGGCTCTTCCCCGTGCACACCGCCGCAAAGATGGGCAAGATCGACATCATCGAGCAGCTCATGGAGACGTGCCCCAACAGCGACGAGCTGCTGGACAACCGAGGGAGGAACGTCCTGCACTGCGCCATCGAGCACAAGAAGGAGAAGGTGGTGCAGCACATGTGCAAGAACCCGAGGTTCGGGAGGATGATGAACGCGCGGGACAGCAGGGGGAACACGCCGCTGCACCTGGCTGTGAAGCACGGCTGCGACAGGATCGCCATGCTGCTGGTGCGTGACGTGAAGGTGAACCTGAGCATCATGAACAACGACGGCGCGACGCCGCTGGACCTGGCCATCAACGAGCTCGACCACGGCTACACGTACCCGATGAACCCGGAGGTCCTGATAGTGCAGTGCCTGGTGTGGTGCGGCGCGCACCGCAGCCCCCGCCGCCGGGACGAGTACCTGAACAAGCGCACCGGGGTTGGGGGCTCGGAGAAGGAGCTCAGCAAGTTCACCAACCTGACGCAGAACCGCGCCATCGGGTCGGTTCTCATCGCGACGGTGACGTTCGCGGCGCCCTTCACCATGCCCGGGACTGCCGCTGACGCCGCGGAGAGGCCGGCGTTCTGGGCGTTCATCCTGTCCGACGCGCTGGCGTTCCTGTGCTCCACGGTGGCGACGTGCCTGCTCATGTACGCGGGGCTCACCACCGTGCACCCCAGGTACCGCAGCCGCTACCACGTCTGGTCCTCCAACCTGCTCCACGTTGGCGTCCTGCTCGTCATCGCCACCTTCGCCTTCGGCGTGCACCTGGCGCTCAGCCCACCGGGGACCGGGATCCCCGGTGGGAACCTGAACGCTGCCGTGTGCGCCATGGCGTGCGTGTCCGTGCTCTTCGCGCAGCCGGGCACCTGGTGGCCCACGGTGCTCGCCAAGCCAATATGGGCGCGGCTCGGGCTGAAGGGGCTCCTCGGCGTGCTGCTGGGCCCGCGCCCAATCCCGTGCCAGAAGCTGCTACTCTCGCGCACGCCGTGGCTCAACCTCTTCAAGATGCTGGCGACGCTACTCATCCTCGCATTGATCCTCGTCACGTTTCTCTTGGACATGTCCTACCTGCGGCCACCTGCTGCTCAGCACCGCTTCTCTTCAAATCTTCTCCTGCAGTCTCAGCGCCAGTTCTGCTCGTACCCTACATGAACTGACAGTAGTCGAAGACGACCACGGTGAACAGAGTATGGCTCCGGCCAACTCGTGCTTCAGAATTCAGTCTATTTCAAGCTAGCCAAGCCATCAAAACGTAGAGATGGCGTGAGCTGTGTACTGTGTACAGGCGTTTGTCATTGATAGGATAGTTACATTAATAATTAAGCAGGAGAAGCACTGAAGCAGCTTCTCACATCTTAAAAAACAATACTAAACTACATGACACATATCTTCTCTACAATTGGCACCGATTTATTATAGAGACACAGTTCACATAAGAAACCACCTATAACTAGGACGGGAGCACTGTAACTCACGAACCACCCCTGTAAATTAATTTTAAGGGACATCCGTTAAGAAAATTGTCCCTATAAATGTATCCATTTTCGAGACGATTTTTTTTTCTCAATCACACAAAAGATTTACGCGTCTTTGTATTAAGGTAGAGAAAAAATTTAATACAACACGTCTTTGCGGCGCCAATTGTAAAAGAGCTACCCTTTTTTCCCGCAGGAGAGAAGAGAGCTGCCTATGTTCAAGGTTGGATTTGTTAAGAGAACCAGCCCTAAAAATCTAATGTTTCTAGGGGCGGTTGTGTTAATAGAAGCATCCCTAAAAAACAATGTGTAGTGCTGGTCCTCTTAGTGAACCACCCATGAAAATTACTCCCTATAAAAGCTTTCTTCTTCCTCGCAACAACTCTACATATCACTCCATTGGAAGCTCACTTGGAGACGAAAATGTTGCAAAAATAGAGGGGGAGGTTTTGCACTTTAAAACTTTGAAGGAGTTGGCTTTAAAAGATAAGATTATGTCATCTAAATGTCTTTTTAAAGGTCTACTTATATATTTATTTTGCTTAGTTATGGCCTCCGTCTGGAAAGAGACATACTTAATTTTACATTTTGTTAATAATTTTGGCCTTTTTTTTTTGCCCAACTTACTTGCATGGAGCAGGCCCACCTCGATATCTAGTTATTTTGTTTAGATTTCTTGCTTCTTATAGTGTTATACAAGGTTGTCCATGAATGGAGATATTTGTAAATCTAGATCCATATCTATATGTAGCCATTCATGGAGAGGTGAGAGAGTAAGAGGGGGGTGATTTTTTTTGTTTACTGAAAATAAAGTGTTTGTAAATTTACAAGTGTGCATAATTTTTTATGGGTTTTGATATCAATTTATGTCGAATTTTTTAGTTAAATTTATGCCACATTTTTAGTTAAATTTATGCTGAGAACAATAATTGTTTTTCTAGTTAAATGGAAATAATATTTTACAACAACAACAACATAGCCTTTTAGTCCCAAGCAAGTTGGGGTAGGTTAGAGTTGAAACCCACCAAGAGCCTCAAGTCACGGTTCATGCACTTCAATAGCTGCTTTCCAAGTACTCATATTCAAACATATGTCTTTAGGTATATTTCAAGCTTTTAAATATCTTTTTATTGCCTCGTCCATGTCAATTTCGGTCTTCCTTTACCTCTCCTCATATTATTAGCTTGGCTTAGGACTCCACAATGCACTGGTACCTCTAGAGGTCTCCTTTGGACATGGCCAAACCACATCAACCAATGTTGGACAAGTTTTTCTTCAATTGGTGCTATCTCTAGGCGATCACGTATATCATCGTTCCTAACTCGGTCCATTCTTGTGTGACTGCAAATTCATCGTAACATACGTATTTCTACAACACTCAGTTGTTGAACATGTTGAATCTTTGTAGGCCAACATTCTGCTCCATACAACATAGCCGGTCTAATTGCCGGTCTATAGAACTTGCCTTTTAGCTTTTGTGGTACCCTCTTGTCACAGAGAATTTTAGAAGCTTGTCGCCACTTGATCCACCCTGCTTTGATTCTATGGCTAACGTCCACATCAATACTCCATCCCTCTGTAGCATCGATCCTAGATATCGAAAGGTATCATTCTTAGGCACTACTTGACCTTCCAAACTCACATCTCCCTCCTGTACAACTCCGCCAAAGTTGCATCTCATGTATTCGGTTTTAGTTATGCTCAATCTAAAACCATTAGACTCAAAGGTCTGCCACCATAACTCTAGTTTCCTATTTACTCCCGCCTGGCTTTCGTCCACTAACACTACATCATCAGCGAACAACATACACCAAGGGATATCCCCTTGTATGTTCCTGGTAATCTCATTCGTTACCAAGGCAAAGAGATACGGGCTTAAGACTGACCCTTGATGAAGTCCAATTTTAATCAGGAAGTAATCTATGTTATCATCGTTTGTTTGAACACTAGTCACAAAATTATTGTACATGTCCTTGATGAGGGTCACGTACTTTGATGAGACTTTATGTTTGTCCAAAGACTACTGAAAGCTCTAGTTTGGTTTTGGTAAATTGATGAAATCCTAAGTGCTAACCTAGTTTATTAAGTGATCATGATATAGGTAGCACACTCCAAGTGGTGAAGCAAATGAAGATCATTGCATGATGAAAATGATGCCATGGTGATGATCAAGTGCTTGGACTTGGAAAGAAAGAGAAAAACAAAAAGCTCAAGGCAAAGGTATAATTTGTAGGAGCCATTTTGTTTTGGTGATCAAGACACTTAGTGAGTGTGATCACATTTAGGATCGATAGTCGTACTATTAAGAGGGGTGAAACTCGTATCGGAATGCGGTTATCAAAGTGCCACTAGATGCTATAACTCATTGCATATGCATTTAGGATCTAGGGGAGTGCTAACACCCTTGAAAATGTTTGTGAAAATATGCTAACACATGTGCACAAGGTGATACACTTGGTGGTTGGCATATTTGATCAAGGGTGGTGAAGTTTAGGTGCAAGGGTAAGAAACTCCACCAGCGGAGTGTCCACCCATAGAGTGCGGACAGTCCGACGGTGCCACCAACGCCCTAGACAGAAAAGACGGAGATCACTAGGAGTGACCGGACGCTGGCCTCGGTTGGACCGGCGTGTCCGGTCAGGTGTAATAGCGAAGACGCTGGCGTCGATCAAACGACCGGACGCTGGGTCGCTCTGCGACCGGACGCTGGCAGGGTGCGTCCGGTCAGTGCTAACGTACGCTGACATGAGGCGTAATGAGGAGATGCTGGGTGACCGAACGCCAGTAGGGTCCGGTCAAGCATGACCGGACGCGTCCGATCGAAGAAATTCGTTTCTGGAACCTTACTGGAAATGACCGGACGTTGGAGGCTGAGTGTCCGGTCAGTTTGTGCACTATGTCCGGTCAACAGAATAACCGTTGAAATTTGACGAACAGTATTTGAAGCAGGGGACACGTGGCGTGTATCACGTGACCGAATGCTGAGGGCCAGCGTCTGGTCTATTGGACCGAAGCATCCGGTCACCCCGCGTTGTGCCCAGTGAAGGGGTACAATGGCTCTATTTTATGGGGGCGTCTATTTAAGCCCCATGGCCGGCTCAAGCTCACTCCTCTTGGTCATTTGTATTGACATAGCAACCTTATGAGCTTAGCCAAAGGCCTCCCACTCATCTCCATCATAGATTAAATATCTTTGTGAGATTGGGAGAGAATCCAAGTGCATTGCTTGAGTGTTTGCATCTAGAGGCACTTGGTGTTCATGTTTCGCTGCGGGATTCGCTTGTTACTCTTGATGGTTGCCGCCACCAAGACAGCTTGGAGCAGCGAGGATCATTGAGCGGAGGGTGGTGATTGTCTCCGGCTCCGATCGTGGTGATTGTGAGGGGTTCTTGACATTTCCCCGGCGGAGCGCCAAAAGGTACTCTAGTGGATTGCTCGTGGCTTGTGTGATCCTCATCTTGTGTTGGTTGTGTGGCATCCTATTAAGGGTTTAGCGTGTGAAGCCAATTAGCGCGTGAACCTCTAAGTGAGTGAATCGCCACAACAAGGACTAGCTTGCCGACAAGCAAGTGAACCTCGGTAAAAAATCATTGTGTTCATCATTGATTCCGAGGTGATTGGTCTTCATTGTTATTCATCCTTGTGATTAATTGGTTCCTTCATCTACACGGCGGTATAACTTTCTTAATCACTCTTTATATTACCGCAAACTAGTTGTCAAGCTCTTTAGTGTAGTTAGTTGTGAGAGCTTGCTTGCTTGGTTGGTGTGGCTCTTTAGTTAGTTTTTGAGAGCACATTAACATAGGGTAGTGTTATAGCTATTGTGTGAATAGATACTATCTAAACTTGAATTATGGTAGGTGGCTTGCATTTTGAGTCAGCTAGCGCAATATTTGCTTCGCCTCTTAATTATCTAACCGTGTTGTTAAGTATTATTGTAGAAATTTTTATTAGGCTATTCACCCCCCTCTAGCCATTAGGACCTTTCAACTACTACATAATATTTCTTGGTATCTTGTCATAAGCCTTCTCCAAATCAATAAAAACCAAGTGGATGTTCTTCTTTTGCTCTCTAAACTGCTCCATAACCTGTCTTATTAAGAAGATTGTTTCTGTGGTTGACCTTCCAGGCATGAAACCGTCGGCACAAAATTTTGTCCCGTGTCGAGGGCACACGAGCAAGCCGAAAGGGTCCGCTCGATGGAGCTAGAGATCCGCCTAGCTTCAGCGCAGAGATGGTCGATCCTGCGCACTCCTCCCGAGACGTGCCAGTCAATTTGACCCTGCAATTGACAAGGAGAGAAAGCTAATCAGTAATTTAAGGCGGAACATGCTGGTGTTACCAGATAGTCCCGAATGTGCGGCTCTAAGAGTCGATATGGAAGGAAATCGACTAAATAGTCAGTTCTATAATATTCATAAGAATAAATCAATTAAAGCTCATGAAATTATGGAAGGTAAATTGATTATTGCTCAGGATAGATCTTATTATTTAAACCAATATTAGTCAATGGCAAAAGGATGTCAATAATAATTAATTTATGCTAAGCCCATGACTTCAAGTATCCGAATCCCTTTTTATATAGAATAAATGGCTCATCATCATTTAACCATTTAATAAAGATAAATCTAATGAACATATTAGATTTCGTCTATCGCTAGATTTGACGACCCTAA